ACTCTACATAATGCCCACTGAGCCTATTTGGGAAAACAGGTTTAATTGAACAAGTTATTTTTTTTAATGTAACTACATCATGGACCTAAGAGTATATTAATGTTTGCAACAGGCCATATAATATTACATCTCACTGTCAAACCCAATTTAGGTAAAACAAATTTTGAAGTGTTTGTGGTTTCATCATTTTATTTAGTTGAGAAGAAATACTTAACTAAAAAATAGAGAGTCAATGTTTCTGCTACGCTTCTCTAAAATATCTCCTACTATTTAAAGGTCATATATATGTCAATAATGTTCAAATAATCTTATCCACATGTACAATTTAATGAGTTAAAACACAGTAAGAAGTCTTAAATAGCTCCTATGAGATAAATTTTTTGCAGTGGTAACACATATGGAATGAGCTAGTCATTTCAGCTTTTGCAAAATTAAGACTTACTATGTATTTTTCCTTTATTTTCTTTAATGAAAAGATTTAAAAAATATTTTCTTATTTCCAAGCTACTTAAATACAGTTAAATCTTAAAATCAAAGGAAAATTGAAAACTGTGGGATAAATGAACTAATAAAAACCCTCATAAATTATTTTTAAAAAAGAAATGAATATCAATCCCTTGTGAAACAAAAGCATATACAAATACTTATGGTATAGTTTACTTATATTACAAGTACACTTTGAATATACCCTCTATTAAATCAAGGAATCTTGAGAAAACAAGATGATAACATCCTCATCTTATCTACTGAGTGCTTTTTATGGGTTAAGCACTTCATACACATTATCTCACTTAAATGTCACAGCAACCTATAAAATAAGTTTTAATCAAAGCTTAGTGAGTCTGTCACTTATACATGATAAGTGGCAAAAAGATTAGAACAAAGGTCTGATTCCAAACTCTGAACATTTAACCCCTACTATAGTGTATTATGAGTGAAAAGTGAATACAGTCAAAAAGAAATGTTTGAAATCCCAAATCTGTCTTCTTCGCTGGTGTATATTCAGTGCCTAAAACAATCCTAGCACACAATGGCCCTTCAATAAATACTTCTTGGTTAAATTTTAAAACAGTTAGCTTAGCTCCTATAAAGTGCCAAATAAGGGGCGCCTGGGTGGCGCAGTCGGTTAAGCGTCCGACTTCAGCCAGGTCACGATCTCGCGGTCCGTGAGTTCGAGCCCCGCGTCGGGCTCTGGGCTGATAGCTCAGAGCCTGGAGCCTGTTTCCGAGTCTGTGTCTCCCTCTCTCTCTGCCCCTCCCCCGTTCATGCTATGTCTCTCTCTGTCCCAAAAATAAATAAACGTTGAAAAAAAAAGTGCCAAATAAAAACAGTATTGGTGGTGATGTCAAAAAAGAAAGGGAAGACAAGAGAGTCAACCATTTGAGATTTTATCACAATAGACGACACAACGGGGTTTCAAAATTGCATGAAATCATGTCAGTTTGAATGACAGTATTTGTAGTATATAAAAACCAACAGGGAAGTAACGGAAATAAGCTTGATATTATTTTAACAGTCTACATAAAGGTTTATTATTGGTACACATTAGATTAAAGCCCATATCTTTTGCATCCCAATTCTTTTATTTTGGATTCACATTTAAGTAAGATGTATTTTTAATTAAAACCTAAACAGAACAAAAGTCTCTTTATGACTTCTGATATTATCAAAGATTTAAGAATTGTATAGAGATAAAATAATAAATATTACTATTAGCTACAACTTACTGAGTACCAGTTATATATTAGGTGCTTTTGTACATTATCTATAATCCCTAAAATAATCTGGTAAGTTAGTTAATATTCACATTTTACATGGCAGAAAGTAAACCTGGAGAAGCTCATAAGTAACTTGCCCAAAGGCGCACAGTTGGTGTTAATAAGTATCAAAGCTGTGATTTGCACCTGGGTCAGTCTGATTCTACGGCTTTTGGTCTTCCCATTATTTCAATGTGCCTCACAAAGAACTGGGCACCTTTGTTTCATGTGGTTTTTTGACTGTACCAGACTCTCATTCTTATATTTAATCAGGTGGGAAGACAAAATAGACTAATACATATGTAAGTTATACAACACACAAAGACACGCAAATAAATAAGGAGAAAATCTGAAACAAAAATGGCTTAGGTAAAATGGCAAATTTGATCACAGCCGTCATATAAATTTCATGAAACTGGTTCACGTGGTCGTTATGTATCAAACATATCACAGGAATTATTTGAAGATCAGAAAGTAACTATTAAAAAAAATCACTTCCTTAGTGATCAGTAATACTAATATCTAATCATACGAGTACAAATACTAAATCTAATTCACGATCATTGTATAAAACTTGAAAAGGCAGAAAACCATTAATTGAAACATTAATATATCCATTAATAATACAAATAAATTTGCCTCATTTCATATAATGTACGTGTACACATAGATTTAACAAAATTATATTATAAATGCAGTTTCCTCCCTACTTTTCACTTAACATTAAATCATGAAGATTTTCTCATATCACCAAATATTTAGCAACAGTTTTCAGTTATCATATAATGTCTCACAGCATACACATACCTTATTTAACCATTCTCTTATTGTCTGATTGATGTTAGTTCTCTGGCTATTATAACTAACACTAGTATGGATATCCTTAATATAAATCTTTATGTCATGCACTATAAGGAAATGGCTATTTCCTTAGAGTACTTCATATTTTAACTAACATTTGAAAAATCTATAAACATATATTTTTATATCTTATTTGCAATTTTCAATGTTTACTTGAGATGTTTTTGCATGTATTTCTTTTAATGTGGAATATCTTAATTTTTTTTAAACAATTATACTTTGCTTAAGTACATTATAATACATAAATGTGTCATAGTTATAATGTACTTTACCAAATACACTTTTTATTTTGAATATAAAAATGAGCCATGACAGAAACAAACATCAATACTGGTGTGGACTTTTTTTGCTGTTGTTATGTGGGTTATCTGTCCTTTCACATGACACTAAAGAACATATTTATCACATGTAATCATATTCCTATAATGTTCCTCTTTATCTACTAAGGTACTGACACAGTTTTTGTTGTTGTGTTTTGCTTTTTGACTGCACCTGATACCAGGTGGGTAGAAAATAAGCTACTAAAGACCATACGTATGAGAAAATATGAAAAAAATAATAAGTCTATCAAGAGTTAATGAATTTCTTACAGTTTCAACCCAATGGATTTCTTAAGCAATTCAGTGTTTTTTTTTAATTTTGACATATCACAATGATGACTCTCTCTAATGTCATAAGTAAAATATCTTTAATCTTTTTTAATAAGATGGAACTGAAACATCAAAAAGATACACACTGAAAATTTATACTTTAAAAAAATTTCAGAGGATTTACATTTTGTGTCATTTTTATAACTAAGTGGTTGGATGTATCTCTTTTAACTGGATTGCACTGCTATTTTCATCAATTTAGGAGGCTGTAAAAATACTAAACATCTCAAATATTTAACATTTACTAAAATAATATTGTATAATTAATGAGAAATATTTGATTAACAAGAATCATAAAGCAATCAAATTCTTTCCATTGTATGCATGCATGATTCGTACTATTTAGTCAAAGGGAAGCCTTAAGTATATACAAATAAGTAAATATTTGAAGCATATGATTAGCTATATCATACAAAAGTTTTAAGAGTAGATAATATTGCTTAATGAGATTTCACCTCCAAGATATAAGTGATCAATGCAAACATATTAATTTATGCTTTTCAGTAAATCAAAATGCCCTAAATCTTATCAAATTACTCCTGCAAGACACATGCAAAGCTATACAACACCTTTAAACAAATGTACTTATAATATCTTCCTAGTAATTAGCATATATATGATTATAAAAAGCCAACAAACTTCCAAATTGTTCTAAGTTTTTATTTGAATTATTCATTATTAACATATGGTTGTTTTTCCTTAAAATATATTAGTCCCACATTCTCTATTAAAAAAGAAAAAACATTCATGGTAGTTTAACAGTACAGAAAAACAACCATCTATTATTTTAGTTGGAGTATTTATTTATGGTAATTTTGGTTATATATTCATAGTGATGTTCAGTTCTATTTTGTATAATAACATTTTAAAGACAGGCTATACCTGTGAATGTCTCTGACCTAAAAAACCAGAATTCTCTCATATATGCAACCAGGTTAACATATCCTCAAACTAATCACAAAATAATTTCTTAAAATCATTCTAATTGATATAAAAATGTTAAATAAGTAATGTCTAAAATGCCTCTGCAGGTTAATTTCTATTATACTATGAAATTTCTCTCCTTAACATAAAACAGTGTGAGCAAAAGAGTCACACACTATTGAGAATCATCTGAACTTATCTGTAACATATCACAAATATATTTAAAATTTTTTTCCTTACAAAGACCTGTGAGTAAAGATAGACTCCAAAACATATTTAAGGCAGTCATTTATAGTCTTAAACTCTGGCAACCTTTCATTTTAATCTTCTCAGTGAAAACATTATCTCCATCATCATCCACATGATCAGATGAAAATTTATTAATTGCACAAAACAGATTTTTGAATCAAATGTAGGTTTCCATTGGCAATGAATATATGACTATCCTCACACAAAAGAGAAGTATTTCCTCTCAAGGAGCTAAAACAATAAGTGGTATTTGAACTGCTGGTTGAAAGGTAGAGGCACTGGTAATCATTATTTCCCCTTGTTTGTTCAGGCCCTTCCAACAAAACAAACAACCTTTTTGTGATTGGATTGACATGGTGTTAACAATGCATTTAATGCCCAAATCAGTATGAATACAGGTAAAGCTCTCACTAATACCAGTACCAGGATGTTAAAGCCACCTATTTTCTATGCAGCCAAAAAAAAAAAAGAGCCTCCCCTCCTTTGACAAATAAGCTAGTATGCTAGTATTCACTGAGCCACATCATATAATAACTCTCTTAATACTCGTCTACTATACCTGCTGTCTTCTCAGCCATATGAGCTTCTGTTGCTTTCTCCTGGAGTTCCAGCCTAAGCTTTAGTTTTCTATGTTCCTTATCTTCTTTAGTCAGTTTTTCTTGAAGCTAAAACACATTGAAAGAAACATAGTTTCTTATTCGACAAATTTCTTACAGAATATAATTAATCCCAAAGTAAAAGCTATTTTTTCTAAACCCTTACTTATTACATTTAACTGCCTAAATACATAAGTCCAAGTGGGGTGGGGGAAGAAATCCCACAATGTTTAACATTTTAAGCTATTTTTAAAGTAATAATTAATTACCTATAATGATAGAGAAATTATGGAAACATTTTGATATACACTTGTGTATTTATAGGCAAATGAAATTAAAGAGGGAATGACACAATTATTAAGAATACTGCAAAAAGCAATCTGATCTGTTCTTTTGTCTTAAAGCAAAAGACTTGGAAGGCACTACCCTAATAAAAAAACAACAGCTTTACAGCTTCTCTTAGTAATTATAATACTTTGAAACAAAATTAATTAAGATAATAATCTTAATATGTGAAACAAATCTCCTTTGAGAATGCTATCCCATCATATTCCATTTAAATCGGCACTGGCACCTGATTTATAACTGGCATGTAATAAATAATTACTAAATGAAAATACTGAACATATCTCCTACTTTCATACAGAACCCCTCAATTGTTTGTCATTTGTGTTGTTTTCCAGCATGCCTCAGTTTGATTAGGTCAAAAACTAGAATATGAAAATCAGAAAAGTATGTAGAGGTATGCAGAGGTTAAAAAAACAGAAGGTATAGAAAACAAACATTATTTAATAACATTATTAAATGTGCAAAGAAATGTAACTAGAAAGAGTCAGTAAGGATAAGACACATGACATGACAAACTGGACTGGACAAAATGTAGCAGTATATAACACAAGGAATGTGACGGTATTGCCAAAATTTAATCACATATATTACTGAGGTGAAATACAGGGCACAGATGCTAAGAAAAAAAAGTTAAGTAACATGAAATCATTCATTGTATTTCTCACTTTCTGTAATACTGAAGTAAACTTTTACTACTGTTAAAACTTGAATGAATCTTTTTTTTTTTTTTAAGGTACCTACTCAGGGTACTACAGATTTATGAAAAAAGAAGTGATATCACAGGCCAGCAAGGCAGGAAAGTAAAGAAATTGCTTTTGATAGCCAATCTCTCAATACAATCATACTCTGATGGTATGGTATGGTATGGCAACAACATAAGCTACCATGAAAGGCTAAAAGTACATGATGAAACTGAATTATGATGGGCAACAAAGCAAACTTATAAGGTCAACAGCTAAAAGCACACTGTACAATTATCAGACTTTCTATATTGTACCTTTTTATTGCTTGCTCTGAGAATGTCCAATTCTTTTAGAAGAAATGCTATGGTCTTCTCTTTATCTAAGTCTGAAGTAACTTGACAAGGGATCGTACACTCACAATGCAAATCATGATCTCTATGTTCCATAATGCTGTAAGAAAAAAAACTATTGAACTATATACATATATGATTTCTACCATGCGGAATCTATAATTTTACACTTCAAATGAGGGAAACCAATTTAATGTTAACAATAATATATAAAGTTACTTAGTTTTAAATTTCTCTTGTTATATACTGTTAAGATAATACATGGATGGAAAAGAATGAATATATCAACGTCACAGAGTCGTTAATCTATCAACTGAGGGAACTAAATCTGTGGAAAGCATTTAGTCATTTCTATAGTAATTCATTGTTAAGTATACGTAAAGAATTCAGATTTTAGGGGATGTGAATAATTCAATTTATACTTTTGGTCAGGACTCTAGATACATATCTCACTTTTCTGAAAATGGAAAGAATCATACTTTTTTCAGTGTGGTTGACAGAATATCATATTTTTGTTATTAAACTCAAAACAAAACTGAAAACCTATTCCTGTAACATTTAATGGTAAATAATTTTTTTTGACATTTTGTATGCTATTTGAGGACAGTATCGACTTGCCAGCAGGTAGTAAAAAGGAAGGGAAAGAGATGGACTATTTTTTGAAGGCATTATATTAAACTTGTAAGCACAGGTAAACTTTAGAGTCTCTAAGAAGCAATTAAGCAGGGAGGTCTGGCACAGTCAGTGCAGTTTTACCTACCATGTATACCTTCTGTTGCAATTATATTAAGATATTTCATACTCTGGCTTTAGACCAGTCTCTACTATTTATTTTTCCAACATGGTTATAAAATGTTTACCACCTCTTCATTCATCCCTAACCCTATGCCCCTATGCAGTAATTCTGCAGTATTTTCAAAATATATGACTAATTATGGAAGTACTTTAATCCCATAGAGGTAAAAGTCACAGAGGTCACAAATTCAAATCCCGTCATGGGATAAGTAGGTAAGGTGAATGCTAAAAGCTGTAGAATGGAAAATAATAAAGAAGGCAAATGGGAAAGTACAAGGCCCTTCTAAAAGTAATCAAACTCCTTTAAACAAAAAATCACGCTAATCAAAGCCAAAACACATCTTTGGGCTTATTTTGTCCTACAGTTGCCATTTTTTGGCTCTGATGAATAATTTCCCATTTATGTCAACTTAACAGTTACTTCCAGATCCAAAATGAAAGGTCACAGAAAATAATATTCAACAAGAAGGAATAAAATCTCATGGCCTTCATTTAAACTCACCTTATGCTTTTTCACTTAACAATCTACATCCATTCTATCAACATAATGAAAACAGTAGAAAACTCTGGTAGACAGCCCAAATTCTAATAAGTTAATGATATGTCCAATGTAGCTGAAGCCAAAAAGAAAAAAGGGAGAGACGAATGGGGCAGGGAGGGAGGGAGGAAGAAAGAGTTCTCTCAGTCTTACTTTCTAAATCTAAGGCTGCCAGCACTCACTTGGATTTTTCAATAGTGCAGTCAGCTGTCTCATCACCTGGATAAGGAAAATTCCTTGATCTCTGCCCTGGCAGTTCTGTGTCCTCATAGGTGGCTTCATTAACCAATTCACTGGATTTCTGATGCATGCTTTCCTTAGAATTCACAGTTGGTTGCTCATCTGGCTCTGTACTTTTATTTCTCCCTGTAGTCTCTTGTTCAAGGTAACTATGGGCTATCTCTGTATTTAAAACAAAACAAAAACAAATGATACGTGAAATGCCATAGCTACATATTAAATCATTGAAATGAATATTTTTGTAGAAATAGGTGCTCTCATAGCTTTAAACATGTACTTACTAGTCTTACTCCTATTGTAATCAGGAACGTACAGCGGTTTTTCCACATCTGGTGGGGGCATTTAGGGCAGTGGTTTACAACCTTCACTTCAGGTTGAAATAACCTGAGGAGTTTCTAGAAATCCTTAGCCCAGACCACATCTTGTATTATTTAAATCAAAATGTGTCAGAGTGTCCAAATGACTTCAGCATCCAACCAAAACTGAGAAACACAGATTTAGGGGCACTGTTTTCTAGATTTCTTTTCTAGATTTCAAAAAATAGGATGCGATACGCAAATGACTATAAAGAAGTGATACTGTGCATGCAACTCTGGTATCCAACTGCCTGGGCTAGAATTCCAGCTTTGCCTAATGCATAACTTTCGTCAGGTTACATAACCCATCAAAGCCTAAGTTTCTTGTTTGTAAAATGAGAACATAAGAGCACTTTTACTTGAGTTACTTTAAGGGCTGACTGATGCAAAGTACTTGGCCTAGAGTTAGGCACATTGGTAAACGTTAGCTATTATTTTTGTAATCATTATCATAATATTAAAATTAACACAATATAAGAAAAATTATTTTTAACTTCCATCTTATCAGATATATATTATACATTAGAAAATATGGGGCGCTTTGGTGGCTCGGTCAGTTAAGCATCCGACTTCGGCTCAGGTCATGATCTCACGGCCCGTGAGTTCAAGCCCCGCGTCGGGCTCTGTGCTGACCGCTCAGAGCCTGGAGCCTGCTTCAGATTCTGTGTCTCCCTCTCTCTCTGCCCCTCCCCTGTTCATGCTCTGTCTCTGTCTCAAAAATAAATAAACGTTAAAATTAAAAAAAAAAAAAAAAAGAAAAAAGAAAATCTGTTTTGTAATGCCTGGCTATCTCATAAAAATTATCTTAAGCTGTAACTAGTATGTAACAGCTATTTCAAAGGAATAGTATATCTAATACTATGGTGAAATTTTTGGAAGAAAATGACACACATGCAACTACATAAAACAAACTCTTTTACTGGTAAATCAGACCAACAGGCACAAATACTGATTGTAACAAATACTTTATTATTTCCAGTATCAATAACTCTTGAACTTTAAAAAGCAAGTGAATCTCACCTGCTTGTTGATGATGCCTTTTCCAACCTGCCAAACTTAAAATCCTTTTAAGCAGAAAAGCAGAGGAGAGTAGTTTTAGAATAAATAACAAAATAGGGGTACTTATAAATAAGATACTTCTCACAAAGTATTCATTTCTTAAGGAGAAATTCTTTGCTTGTGGATATGCTGAAACTAGGTTAAGCCAGTCATAAACCCTAAGTCCTGGGCATTATCTCGTTGGTAGCTGAAGCTAAATCAGAAATCACTTGTTTTTAGTAAATTACTCTCAATTTCACTTTGTTTGACGAAACAAATAGGGAGACTATGTCATCATAATTATATGCCGTAAGATATCTATGAACCATTAAACAGTAAAACATTATACTGTTTTTATTTAAACTTTAACAATTCTAGGTATCTGAAAATTATCCTGTTGGTTTTTGACATTTCAAAACACTTACATGGTTTGCTTCAGATGTTCATCAGGCTACTTTTCTAGGAGAAGCTGGTGTTAGTAGAATGGAACCCTCAAAATCTGAATTAAGGAATTTTATAAATGGACATTAAAAAATACAACTGTATCTATAAACCATGCTTTCTAACACTAACACGTAATTTTAAAAGTACAGCTGACACTTGAACACATGGGTTTGAACTGTGCAGGTCCACTTATCTGTGAATTTTTTTCTTTTATAACTACAATAGAGAAATGTAAATGTATTTTCTCTTATGATTTGCTTAATAACATTTTCTTTTCTCTAGCTTATTTTATGGTTAAGAATACAGTATTAATACATACAACATACAATACACGTGTTAATTGACTATAGTACTGGTAAAGCTTCTGGTCAAGAGTAGGCTATTAAGTAGTTACGTTTCGGGGGAGTCAAAGTTATACAGGAATTTGAGTGCAGAGGGTTGGATCTCCTAACACCCAGATTGTTCAAGGATCACCTTTTACTAAAATGAAAGAGAATTACAGTTTTCCATCATCTACATTACCATTACCTTACCACTATGTACAACTCGTCCCATATTTTTACTTCTGTATTTCTGGGTTTAGTTTAGCATCTTTCTTCTCCCAGTTTCTAATTTCTAACCTCCTAGTGTTTACTTTACCTCATTCTTGGTATGTATACTTTCTATCTGCTTACTATATTTATAGCTCTTTTTCTTACTTCAGGTTACTTAATGTCAAGTTTTGTGTTCTGCTGAATTCCTGGCAAATCAGCACCTTTTCACCAGGGAATGTACTATCTTCTCCAAACTCAGAGCTTCCCAATAAAAGGACTCTATGCAGATCCCTCCTGGATTATAGTAATTATAATCTCTTATAGTGTAATTAAAATAAACTCAGCAAGTTCTAATGTACTTCTGGAATTTAATTCTAAATGTTTAATATTTTTGAAGAACCCTGTACTGTGTGATTTGGCTCTGATTAATTAAAGATGTTTCTAATCTTGCTCTGTACTAGAAGCTTTTAAACTCCTAACTGTAACTGTTTACCAGGCATTTGGAGCCTGCTCTGTAAATCAAACTATCCATACATATTCTGCCAGTGAAAATTTAATTTTACTTTGGAGTAAACAAGGCTGATTTATAAAATTTTCCTTTTGTCTGCCTATTTTTTTTCCATTATAGCAAATGTTGTTTAAATCTTCTTTCAATGCTTTTCTACTCTGCCATATTACATTATCCTAAATCAGAATTCAACTTCTGTATAGGAAGTTTGACCCTTCTAATTAATCTATTTATTAACTAATTAATGGAAACCTCCAATATGATATGTTATATGAAAGTACTAGGAAAACAAAGGAGTGGGAAACAGACTCTCCCCTGAAGGACTCTAGTATAGTGAGGAGGCAAACCGATCTGGCGATTTGAATACAACGTAGAAATGGCTATACTCGGGTCATAGAGACCAAACATAAAACATACTAGACATACTGATGCTCAACTAGAAGATTCTGGGAAGATTTCACAAAGGCATCTGTTCCAACAAAAGACAAGTAGGAATGTGCAAAGCAATCAACTACCAAACGGTTTGAGTTAGATGATGTAATGAAAAAGTTGACAGACTCTAAGAATAAAGTAACAGGAAGAACAAGCATGGGTACAGAGGAGAAGGAATGGCTTTAGGAAAAACACAGACATTTCTTGTATATCTTTCTTGAAATGACAAGATGTTATAGTCAGGGAGTAAAAATTCCTAAAATGAGTGATATGTAAGACAAAGTCCAAGATGTGGTTCATCTGGGAATGGGTAAATGAAATAGACTGAAGGTACATGTAGAGGAAGAAATCAAGGAATCAAGGTACTGAAAGTGTTATCTATTAAAACACTGAAATCATTCAGAAAAATGGCAAGAAATGGAAAGGAGAAATGAGAGCCAAGACTTCACTGACTGCATCAACATGCTGAAGAAAACAGAGACAAATGAGGGAGCTGAGAGGAATTGATTGTAGAGAAGTCATTTCTTTTTATCTTTTTACTTTGAAATAATTTCAATCTAATAAAAAAGCTACAAAAATCGTACAGAGTTCCTATGTACTGAGTCAAGGCACCCAGATTCTCCAAATGTTAACATTTTACCACACTTGCTTTATTGTTCTCTTCATTCTCTCTGTATCTACCTACCTATGTAATTTTTTCCATAACATTTGAGAGTAAGTTGCAGGCATTATGTACTTTGACTTTTCAAGTCAAATTTAAGATACTGCTCTATCATATTGCATTTTGTCAAGTTTGATTTACCTTTTTCAAGGCCCAACTTAAGTTCAATTTCTGAGTTAGTACCATCTCCAACCAAGAGAAGATGATAGCACTTAGTGACTCTCAGTCTTCAATTATTCTCCCTACACTCTCAAGCCCAAAAGAAAGACCATTACTTTTTTTAAATATTTTTATTTATTTATTTTTTTGAGAGAGCACGAGTGGGGGAAGGGCAGAGAGAGAGGGAGAGAGTAGATCTGAAGCAGACTCTGCAATGACAACAGACAGCCCGATGTGGGGCTCAAACTCACAAACCGTGAGATCATGACCTGAGCTAAAGTCAGATGCTTAACCAACTGAGCCACCGAGCTACCCCAAGAAAGACCATTATGAAGTGATAATGGGGTGAAGCCTCTAAAAGCTTCAGCTAAGCTGTCTGGGTTGCCCCATCACTTGAAAAAGTATTTCATACAGCAGTATAAATATATGCCAATACAATGCAACAAAAAGGCAAGTTACAGGTCTGTTTTGCACACCAGTCAATTGGAAAGATAAGATATATATTTAAAACAAAAAAAACCCTATTCATTTCTAAATATCTCTAGACAGATGAAAGTTTAAAACTAAAACTATTCTATTAATTCCTCTCTCATATGGTTTAAAATGGAAACTCTATAACCTTTTTTAGTAATCTGCTTCAGTGTTTAATCAATGTCATTATTAACTATTCCATCATTATGACTAACAAAATTATTACTATTTAAATATATTTCTCCATATGGACTTAGACAATAAATTATCAATGTCTTCTTCATAATTCATAAGACTCTGAAGTCTAACTTTCTTTCCTAAGAGTTAAACAACAGGGAATTTTTATAACTACTATCAATTCCTTTAGTTATTTATTTGCTCTTCTGTGAGGACTGTATTATTGGACATAAGAATTTGACCACTTCAAACCAAATATATTTCCCAGTTTTTGCTATTACTATCTTATGCTATCACTACCATATTAGCTTATCCTGTGACCATTTCAAAGTAATTTTACAGAGGAAAACTACTAGTTATTTCTCAAATTGCTATTGCTAGAG